CAAAGGAATTAGCATAAAATGTAAAGCTGTGCAAGCTCGCAAAATGAATGTGATGGTTGTATAGCTGTGCAAGCTCGCAAATAGAATCAAAGATACATTAGCACCACCGTGAGAGTTTGGGATGCCACTAATTGAATGAACATACTGTACCATTAAACAAGTTCAGCGCAGGTCGCCTCCTTTAAGCTGTGAGTGGGTAAACAGAAAAGACGCCTTGACAAAGGAATTAGCATAAAATGTAAAGCTGTGCAAGCTCGCAAATAGCATCAAAAATACATTACTTTTTTCACTCCAACGCTGTCCTCCGGACAGGATGGTCCCTTCACCTGATGAAGGCCACTTGTGTTGTGGTCGAAACGTCGTGATTTTTGTTATTTTTTACCTACGTGACTTTACCCAATAGAACCAAAGAGTATGGATCCTTGCAGTCACGAAAGTTTGAAATCTAGAATTGTTAAAACCAATTTGTTAAAACCAACGCTCTTCTTGTTGTTTTGGTTGCCGACCCCTGACCATACGAGTCCAGTTCACCATGCGAGTACAGTTTACCATGCGAGTCCAGTTCACCATGTAAGTCCAGTTCCCCATGCGAGTCCAGTTTACCATGGGAGTCCAGTTTACCATGGGAGTCCAGTTCACCATGGGAGTCCAGTTCACCATGGGAGTCCAGTTTACCATGCGAGTTCAGTTCACCATGGGAGTCCAGTTTACCATGGAAGTCCAGTTTACCATGCGAGTCCAGTTCACCATGGGAGTCCAGTTTACCATGGAAGTCAAGTTTACCATGCGAGTCCAGTTCACCATGGGAGTCCAGTTTACCATGGGAGTCCAGTTCACCATGCGAGTCCAGTTCACCATACGAGTCCAGTTTACCATGGGAGTCCAGTTCACCATGGGAGTCTAGTTTACCATGGGAGTCCAGTTTACCATGTAAGTCTAGTTCACCATGGGAGTCCAGTTTACCATGCGAGTTCAGTTTACCATGCGAGTCCAGTTTACCATACGAGTCCAGTTCACCATACGAGTCCAGTTTACCATGGGCAGGGGTGGGCAACCTTCGGCTCTTTCAGGACTGCTGCTTTGTGACGTTGTTTATCAAGGACCAGCGTCTCGTGTTCACCACACAGTGGCATTGCGCCTCTTGAGATATTGAGCTGATTTTTAGCGGCCCGAAACGTCACGTATATTTTATTTGCAGCAGCGAAATGCAGCGCTAAAACTCGCGTCTCACAGCAAGAATCCTCGGTTCGACTTCCAACTCGGGCACCTTTGTATATGTTGAACTTCTTTCGCGCCGTACGTAGCCAACCGTGCTAATCGGGGGTGCGGGATAAGGACAAGAGATTAAACACAACAAGCAGTTTTAAAGAAGTGAGTTTTAAATCTGGATTATTTAAAAGTGTTTAGCTCCGGTGACTTCCTAATATACATCGGAAGGAAGAGCGTTCCAGACGGCCACAGAAGCGCATTTCGTCCGTGTGGAGTTCGTATGTTCTCTCTCTCCCCCTGGTCTACATGGGATTCATCTGGGTTCTCCAGCTCCCACCCATAGCTAAAAAACAACAACCCCCATGCATTATTACTGGTCTTGGCCAAACATCCAAAAGCGAATAGAAGTTATTTGCAAATTACCCAACTGGTATGACACATCATAGCAACTTGCGACTTTGCTGCGAAACTTTGGCAGGTTCCTCCTGAATAGAGTCTTGAGACTCAGCGAGACCTCCCGGTTAAATAAGCGTAAATAATAACAACAATGCACATTCTTGACTTAAAGCTTTCGTGACTGCAGGAATTCATATTCTTCGGTCTTTCAGTAAAGTCACGTAGATAGGTTCAAAGAAAATAACAAAAAACTACGACGTTTCGATCGCAACGCAAGCAATCGTCATCAGGAGATTGCTTGCGTTGCGATCGAAACGTCGTAGTTTTTGTTATTTTTTTGTTATTTTCTTTGAACCTATAAACGTGGCTTTACCGAAAGACCCAATAATATGAATAGATCTTCTATTCTATAACAATAATACATGTTTCCTTTTAGGGCCGCCACGGTGTTGTTAACGAATGTGTCGAATGTAGATATTTTATGGGTGACCTTTTTAAATTCCAGCTTTAAAAAAAAAACTTCAGTACGAAAACCGCGTCACGTGGCCTCACCACATTCTGAATCAGATCTTTCCGTGAGATGCCAAAAGCATTGCCAATGTTCCTTCATTAAAACATTCCACTTTGTGGCGCTACCCACTCGATGGCGCGTGCACGCGTGCGTGTGTGCGCGCGCGTGCACGTGCGTGTGTGTGTATCGTTGGGGAGTTGCAGTGTAGCGGTTAGCACGCTGCGCTACGAACCTGGCGACCCGAGTTCGATTCATGCTCACGGCCAGCAGTGACCATTATCTGAACCAGGTACTCAGATGAGTACCGGACCAGGCACTCAGATGAGTACCTGGTGCGGTGCATAAAAACATCGCCACTCGGGAGGCAAAGGCGGCTGGGCGTTGTGCTGGCCACCCACCCCCTCGTGTGCCGTTGCGGTCTTTATAGGTGACAGCTTACAGCACTTGCCCCAACGGTCTGTCAAGGCTATACAGGGGAGCTTTGTCTTTGTTGTGTATCGTTGACATAGTGGGGAGGGCACAGGTGGTGCATCTGTCAGTGACCTCAGGGAGTTAACCCATACCACCTGTCTCGTGGCCTGCAGCAACAAGCCTTCAGCACTTCACTTGACGGCCTCACAATGGTGGTGGTGGTGGTGGCCACGCACGTGGCTGCCTGTAACCCGACACTATAGAGGCAGCGAGGGGTTGGTGGATCACACACAGATGGTGTGAAGCTCCCTTCCCGTGGGTGTCGAGGAGGAGCCGTACCTTGGCTCGCCAGAAGGCAGGACTCACCCTGCGTCGTCTGTGAGGGATAGAGCGTTTCCCCCTCGCACGCGTGGGGTTTCTCCGGTTACTCCGGTTTCCTCCCACGTGTAAACACTCATCGATTGGCTGCTATAACACCTCGATATGTAGAGGAGCGCAGAGATTGGGCACCAATTGGCAGTGGCGGCTGTCTGTGGTGCCTCGCGCCTCCGAGTGGTCCTCTCTCTTCGAGCGTTACAAGTTGCACGTGTTATTGTCAAGTGCACCTAGCCTGGCACAAGCGGTGTTACGTCACCTGCAGTTCGTGGCGGCTGTCGTGTGTGTCTTGTTTATGATGTCTCAGTGTCACTCTAAAGACGTCATTGTTTTACAACTTGGGGTTGAAAGGGTGATTGCGTCAATTAACGAATTCTCCAAATTAAAAGACGCACACAAAAAGTTAAAGAACCAACCCCAAAAACTTGAGATTTTTATTTACTTTTACAAGGTAAGGCCCACTGAGCTACGTAGCTCTTTTTCAGAAGCGAACTGGCTATCACAAATTAAATTTATAGCAGCCCAAACACTCTAAACGCGTGATTCTAAATGTGCAGGGAAACACGGAGGAGCCGGAGAGAAATCCACGCGACCACGGGGAGAGAGAGAGACACGCAAACTCCAAATATACAGCAGCAGCAGCAGGCGTCAGGGTCGGTATCGAATCCAACGACCTCCTGCATACCAGGCGAGGGAGTTAACATCTCCTGGCCACCGTGATGATGAGAGAGAGACACGCAAACTCCATATATACAGCAGCAGCAGGCGTCAGGGTCGGTATCGTTCCCATCGACCTCCTGCATACCAGGCGAGGGAGTTAACATCTCCTAGCCACCGTGATGCCAGATGGGGAACGATCGCCGTGGTTCCGACCCGAGTTCTTACCAAGCGTCTGACAACGTTCTCCCGTTCTCTTCCATTTGGTGAGCAAACTTTAAGATGGAATTGTAAAGGTGATTCTTCTACTGTCACAATAAACGATGTGCACTCACCACTCAGGGCTGCTGTGTTTGAGGCCGTGACACCCTTGCCCGGTGTTGAACTTGTGGCTACCTGGTCGTGTGTGCGCGTGTGCTTGCAGGTGCTAAGCGCTCACAGCACTTGCCCCAACAGTCTGTTAAAGGCCACACGGGGCGTCTTTGTCTCGTGTGTGCGTGCAAGGGCGCTTTGAGAATGGAATCTTTGGGATGCCAGCGACAGTGATGATGATGATGATGGTGGTGGTGGTTGTGCATTTTGTTTCGATATTCTGGGCCTCATCAGCAGAGTCTAAACGTAACAATTTCCATGTTACCAGGTAAGGCCCATTGCCAGGCAGGGCGTTCCAGACGGCCGCAGAAGCGCATCTGAAAGCGCGCGATGCAGTGACCACCTTTGTTCCATGGTTGGACCAAAATGATGATCAGAAGGAGGGGGATGGAGATGGTGGGAAGGAGGAGGAGGATTGGGAGGAGGTTCAGAAGAAGGTGAAGGAACCCATAATAGAGGTTTTTTGGGTTAGATCGCGTAAATATATAAATGTGCCGTTCAACCTGCCACCACCCGACACAGCCAACTAATAAGGGTTGTCACGTAATCAGAACGTGACAATTCGTCACTAGTACAGCACACCGGTTGTGTGTTGGAGAGCCAAGCCACAACATTTACAATCTGAATACGACGTTTCACCAGTAATTACATCTAGCTTCATCAGGCGACAGACAGATTTGTGGAGACATCCACCAGTTTCGTTCATTAAATAGAGGAGTAGATGTGGTGACCACGCTTCTACGCTCTTGCGCCAAGTGTGGGGGGGGGGGGGTAATGAATCAACGCACATTATGCGAGCCCATTGATCTTGTGCGTCCTGTCCATTGTGTGCCGGGTGGTGACGGGTTTAACGACACACATCTATATATGTACGCGATCTAACCCAAAACAAAAACCTGTGTTGTGGATGATATTGGTCGCGAAAGCCTCCTGCTGCGTGTTCCACTGAAAGTCAGAGCCAGCTTGGCAAGAGAGAGGCGGGGGAGGATCGTGAGTCGGAGAGGATGAGCGGGGGGGGGGGGGCGCTGACCGGGATGGTCGCGGCGAGCAGGGCGCTGTGTGGGCAGCAGGCGAGCAGGGCGCTGTGGGGCAGCAGGCGAGCAGGGCGCTGTGTGGGCAGCAGGCGAGCAGGGCGCTGTGTGGGCAGCAGGCGAGCAGGGCGCTGTGTGGGCAGCAGGCGAGCAGGGCGCTGTGTGGGCAGCAGGGTCCGCGTTACCCTCCAGAGTTTCGTCCCAGACGGAGTCGCAGTTCGGAGCGCGTGGCGCGTGCGTTGGAGTAGGAGGGCTGTGGGGGGTGACACACAGAGAGAGAGGGAGAGGAGGGAGAGGAGTCGCGGTCACCCCGCGGTGTCTCCTCGCCTCGGGGGAGAGGGGAGGGAGGAGGGATCGAGCTGCGGCGAGACGAGGAGGAGGAGAAGGAGAAGGAGAGCCCCCAGGCACGCACAGCGCCTGCCATGGCTGCTGCTGCCGCTGCTGCGCTGCAGCTGCTGGCGGCTCTGTCGCTGCTGCTGCTGGCGGCGGCGACTGTGGAGGCGGTGCACCCCGACTCAGGTGCGTGGCGACGGCGTGGGGCGGAACGGCCTGGGTGGGTGGGCACGGTGTGCGAGTGGTGGTGATGGTGGTGGTGATGATGATGGTGATGATGGTAATGATGATGATGGTAATGATGATGGTGATGATGATGATGGTGGTGATGATGGTGATGATGATGGTAATGATGGTGATGATGATGGTGATGATGATGGTGGTGATGATGGTGATGATGATGATTATGATGGTGATGATGATAATGATGGTGATGATGATGATGGTGATGATAATGATGATGGTGGTAATGATGATGGTGATGATGGTAATGATGGTGATGATGATGATGGTGATGATAATGATGATGGTGGTAATGATGATGGTGATGATGATGGTGGTGATGGTAATGGGACATGCCCCGGCCCATTGCCAATCATGCTGCGCCGCTCGCTGTAAAAATCAACCGCAAACATCAACACCACCATGATCATAATCACCACCATGATCATAATCACCACCATGATCATAATCACCACCATGATCATAATCACCACCATGATCATAATCACCACCATGATCATCATCACGAATTGGATCGGTGATGCTTGCTGCTGCTGCGCTGGCAGTGTTGCGCAATAAACAAAGTAACTATCACCACGTGAACAACAGCGCAGAGGCCTCACAAAGACACCAAACTACACGAGTCTACAGGTATGTTAATTTATGTACATTGAAGAAGAACCATTGCCCGAAACGTCGCCTATTTTGTATTTGTTTTCTTTTAAAGCAGGGTGGAAGGATTTGGTCAGATTCTCCAACGACGTCAATATTCCTCCAATAAAATATCAATAATATATCAGCAACTAATAGCTACTTATCAGTAATAATAATTAACACTCGAATAGCGGACGTAGGAGCATTCCAGACGGCCGCAGAAGCGCGTTCGAGAGCTCGCGATGGGGTGACCGCCGCCTTCGTTCGATGGCCCAGCCAGAAGCCGCTGCTGCTGCGAGGATGATGTAGACAAGTCTCAGACTCTGTAGACAAGTCTCAGACTCTGTAGACAAGTCTCAGATGATGTAGACAAGTCTCAGACTCTGTAGACAAGTCTCAGACTCTGTAGACAAGTCTCAGACTCTATAGGGGAATTCCAAAGTGGAGCAGTGGGAGGGAAGAAACAGAGAGAGGGGGGTCACCTCCAGTGTGGTGAGTGGGGGAGTGAGTGGGTGGGTGGGTGAGTGTGTTGTTGTGACATGCAGTGTTGTGAGTGGGTGAGTGAGTGGGTGGGTGGGTGAGTGTGTTGTTGTGACCTGCAATGTGGTGAGTGGGTGAGTGGGTGAGTGAGTGGGTAAGTGTGTTGTTGTGACATGCAGTGCGGTGAGTGGGTGGGTGGATGAGTGGGTGGGTGAGTGTGTTGTTGTGACCTGTAGCGTGGTGAGTGGGTGAGTGTGTTGTTGTGACCTGTAGTGTGGTGAGTGGGTGGGTGGATGAGTGAGTGGGTGAGTGTGTTGTTATGACCTGCAGTGTGGTGAGTGGCTGGGTGGGTGAGTGGGTGAGTGTGTTGTTGTGACATGCAGTGCGGTGAGTGGGTGGGTGAGTGGGTGAGTGTTTTATTGTGACCTGCAGTGTGGTGAGTGGCTGGGTGGGTGAGTGTGTTGTTGTGACCTGCAGTGTGGTGAGTGGGTGAGTGTGTTGTTGTGACTTGTAGTGTGGTGAGTGGGTGAGTGTGTTGTTGTGACATGCAGTGCGGTGAGTGGGTGGGTGAGTGGGTGAGTGTTTTATTGTGACCTGCAGTGTGGTGAGTGGCTGGGTGGGTGAGTGTGTTGTTGTGACCTGCAGTGTGGTGAGTGGGTGAGTGTGTTGTTGTGACCTGCAGTGTGATGAGTGGGTGGGTGTGTTGTTGTGACCTGCAGTGTGGTGACTGGGTGAGGGGGTGAGTGTGTTGTTGTGACCTGCAGTGTGGTGAGTGGGTGAGTGGGTGTGTTGTTGTGACCTGCAGTGTGGTGAGTGGGTGAGTGGGTGAGTGGGTGAGTGTGTTGTTGTGACCTGCAGTGTGGTGAGTGGGTGAGTGGGTGAGTGTGTAGTTGTGACCCGCAGTGTGGTGAGTGGGTGAGTGTGTTGTTATGACCTGCAGTGTGGTGAGTGGCTGGGTGGGTGAGTGGGTGAGTGTGTTGTTGTGACATGCAGTGCAGTGAGTGGGTGGGTGAGTGGGTGAGTGTTTTATTGTGACCTGCAGTGTGGTGAGTGGCTGGGTGGGTGAGTGTGTTGTTGTGACCTGCAGTGTGGTGAGTGGGTGAGTGTGTTGTTGTGACTTGTAGTGTGGTGAGTGGGTGAGTGTGTTGTTGTGACATGCAGTGCGGTGAGTGGGTGGGTGAGTGGGTGAGTGTTTTATTGTGACCTGCAGTGTGGTGAGTGGCTGGGTGGGTGAGTGTGTTGTTGTGACCTGCAGTGTGGTGAGTGGGTGAGTGTGTTGTTGTGACCTGCAGTGTGATGAGTGGGTGGGTGTGTTGTTGTGACCTGCAGTGTGGTGACTGGGTGAGGGGGTGAGTGTGTAGTTGTGACCCGCAGTGTGGTGAGTGGGTGAGTGTGTTGTTGTGACCTGCAGTGTGGTGAGTGGGTGAGTGTGTTGTTGTGACTTGTAGTGTGGTGAGTGGGTGAGTGTGTTGTTGTGACCTGCAGTGTGGTGACTGGGTGAGGGGGTGAGTGTGTTGTTGTGACCTGCAGTGTGGTGAGTGAGTGTGTTGTTGTGACCTGCAGTGTGGTGAGTGGGTGAGGGGGTGAGTGTGTTGTTGTGACCTGCAGTGTGGTGAGTGGGTGAGTGGGTGTGTTGTTGTGACCTGCAGTGTGGTGAGTGGGTGAGTGGGTGAGTGGGTGAGTGTGTTGTTGTGACCTGCAGTGTGGTGAGTGGGTGAGTTTGTTGTTGTGACCCGCAGTGTGGTGAGTGGGTGAGTGTGTTGTTGTGACCTGCAGTGTGGTGAGTGGGTGAGTGTGTAGTTGTGACCTGCAGTGTGGTGAGTGGGTGAGTGTGTAGTTGTGACCTGCAGTGTAGTGAGTGGGTGAGTGTTGTTGATGTGACCTGCAGTGTGGTGAGTGGGTGAGTGTGTTGTTGTGACTTGTAGTGTGGTGAGTGGGTGAGTGTGTTGTTGTGACTTGTAGTGTGGTGAGTGGGTGAGTGTGTTGTTGTGACCCGCAGTGTGGTGAGTGGGTGAGTGTGTTGTCGTTGTAGTCTGCAGCGTGGTGGTTGAACGCGGTGTGAACGCCACGAAACCGCGGTCAGTGTCTGGTAGACCGAGTCCTCAACACGCGTGGACTGAATCCACGAGTGGAACATCACGGGAACGGTGACCACGACAGCAGCCGTAGCAGAGTGATCAGGGGGCCGTCTGACCGTGAGCCGGCGAGCGCACCGCATTGATCGACGGAGCTGGCGTGCGGCCTGAAGGTTGGGATCGTGAATCCGGTGCAGACGCTCGCTCGTCCGTCCCGTCCCATCCCGCCGCAGTGTTCGTGGACCCGCGACGGGCGGCGCTCGTGCTGCGACGCACGCGCAGGAAGAACAGCGACTTCGAGGAGCTGCGTCCCGGATCGATCGAGCGCGAGTGTCGCGAGGAGACTTGCTCCTTCGAGGAGGCGAAGGAGGCGGTGGGGCAAGAGCAGGCGGTGCGTGGCGCTACCCCCCCCCCCCCCCACCACTCTCGCCCCCCCTTGTGGCACGCGGCCGCTCACGTCCGAGCGGGTGCCCGGGCGGTGCGACGGCACCGCCGGGGGATCGGGGGTCGGGCGAGACCGGCCGTGGGGAACTCGCGCGCTGGGGATGCGGAGGAGAGGGGTCAAGTTGGAGGTGGCGGAGGAGGCGCAGGTTTCATGCCTCGTGGCAGGGCATCACACCGCCACGCACGTCAACACGACCATTGTTTTTATTATAATTATTATTATAATAATAAACATCTGCATCGTGAGCGCCTGTATCAACAACGATACTCTTACCACCATCACTACCGCCACGACCACAAACAACAACAACAACATCATCACAACTTATCACAGTATCAACCACGGTCAACAACACTGACACCACCACCACCACCACAGCCATCATCATGACCACCACTACCAGCGAAACCACAAACACCACCACCACAGCCATCATCATGATGAAAACTCACTACCACTGTCATTGAGCAATATAACACTCCTACCATCAAACCTGCACTAAACCTTTACCTTATTTTTCTTCACTCTGCCGATGAGATAATGTGTTTCAAAACCGGTCCATAATTCGCTTGCCTTGCATTCAACCAATGCTGCTGGAATTTCGCACTCCCAGCACGGCGGCTGATGAGATGTGTAAAAATCTAAAACTAAACCATTTTTGCGTCGTGCGGAAGGACAGGTATGGGAAGGGCGTCGCGTGCTGTGACATGCGTGGTGATTTTGACACCCCCCCCGCCCCCCCCTCCCCTGTGACTGGAACCTTTCAAGTTGGGACCATTGGGACGTGATCGCTGGTTGTGCACGAGACACGTGTTTCCCATTAAAAAAAAAACGTCGTGCCTAAGCGTGACCCCAGAGTGCACACAACCCGGGCCGCATTCCTCCTCCTCCTCCTGCATCCGTGGGCACGTGGGTGGGTGCCCACGAGTGTTTATTTGGTCAATATTAATATTTGCGACGGCTTTGATGATCAATGCGAACGGGGGGGGGGGGTAGGGGGGGGGTGTCTATTTGCACATCCAGGAGCCGTCCATGCCAAGGCCGCCGCCGCCGCTGCAACGAACGGGCCCTAGATGTTGGGATATTGTTGTGTTCATGATGATCATTGTCATTATTACCACCATTATAATTCCAATGCATCGGGCAAGCGGCATCCAAGCAGATCCCATCACGGCAAGAGAAACATGCCCTGGCGCCTGCGGCGAATTGGAACGAAGCCGAAATTGTTCCGCTCGTATTTAAGCGCTAATTTTCACGAGACGTGAAGACAGAAGATCAACGCTGTGGCTGCTGTTTTAATGAAATATTTGGTGATGCTGTTGCTGTGTTGATAGTGGTGCAGGAAGCACAAATAACATTTGTCAGCAACACTGTGGCCTTGTATTAGAAACAAATGTGAAAAAGGTGACGTTTCGGGAAATGTGGCTCTTCAGGGCACATTTCATCCCTTCATTTGTGTGCTATGAAGAAAGGGCCATTGCCTGAAACGTCGCCCGTTTAATATTTATTTTCTTTTAAGGCCACGGCGTCCAGAGTTTTCATTCTCAAACAAATACTGCTGCTCAAACCGCTTCATTTGGCCGATGGGCCAATGAACTAAACATAACAACACTAAACGTGACAACACTAAACGTGACACCACTAAACGTAACACCACTTAACGTAACAACACTAAACATAACAACACTAAACATAACAACACTAAACATAACAACACTAAACGTAACAACACTAAACATAACAACACTAAACATAACAACACTAAACATAACACCACTAAACGTGACACCACTAAACGTGACACCACTAAACATAACAACACTAAACATAACAACACTAAACGTAACACCACTAAACGTAACAACACTAAACGTGACACCACTAAACATAACAACACTAAACATAATAACACTAAACATAACAACACTAAACATAACAACACTAAACATAACAACACTAAACATAACAACACTAAACGTAACACCACTAAACGTGACACCACTAAACGTGACACCACTAAACATAACAACACTAAACATAACAACACTAAACATAACAACACTAAACGTAACAACACTAAACATAACAACACTAAACATAACAACACTAAACATAACAACACTAAACATAACACCACTAAACGTAACAACACTAAACATAACAACACTAAACGTAACACCACTAAACGTAACAACACTAAACGTGACACCACTAAACGTGACACCACTAAACGTGACAACTCTAAACGTAACACCACTAAACGTAACAACACTAAACATAACAACACTAAACATAACAACACTAAACATAACAACACTAAACATAACAACACTAAACATAACAACACTAAACATAACAACACTAAACATAACAACACTAAACATAACAACACTAAACATAACAACACTAAACATAACAACACTAAACATAACAACACTAAACGTGACAACACTAAACGTAACAACACTAAACGTGACACCACTAAACGTAACAGCACTAAACGTAACAGCACTAAACACATGTTTATGTATTTATGTATTTCCATGCGGGGTTTGTTTCAGCAGTCGGCACGTGACACCGCACGTTTGGGCCACCAATCGCTCAGCAAGTGACCTTTATTTTTCATTTGACCTTTTTGACCTTTTTCTATTGACCGATTTTTTTAAATGTCACCCGCCGACATCGCCCTCGGCGAAGTCGGTGCCAGCAGGCATCGGATGGTTCCGTCATGACGACTGACAACAACAACAACAACAGCGGCGGTCTCTCTTGGCGGTCGCTGAACGTGACTCGTCGACAACTTCTCTCCGTTGTCTCGCTGTGCTTTCTTCTCATTTACAGAAAATATTCTGGGCCCGATATCGCCTAAGCCAAGGTCAGTGTGCTCACGCTCGACCAGCGTACAAGCGACGATGCAAGCGTGCTGACGTTGATGACAATGATGATGATGTTCAGACATGAAGTGATTCGTAATTTAAAACTTATTCTTAGGCAGGCGTTGCCACCTGGTCTATTATAGCCCAAATGCAGACATTTCCCTGACATCGCTAGGTCTATAATATATGATTATTATAATCATCAAATCTGTGCTGCAGTTAACTGCAATAAAGTTTAACATAAAGACCAGTATCAGACCTCGACACAAATCAATACCTGGCACCCGAACAATGTTTCCGATTTCTGTACTGGCCTGGCCAAACCTGACCGGGTGAAACGGGGACAGGTGGTCGCCCAATCTGAACTCACGACCACACGAAGTTAAGTTGCGTGCGTAAACCTCAGAGCGGACGGTCCAGCCAGTGGTGTTGGTGCACACAACACGAAGGTGGAGTAGCAGATCCGCCCCGTCCCTCTCTCCTCCCGTCGTGAATCCTAACGGTGGGGGGACAAGTTGGCCAAATAAGACGACAATAACAACAACAACAATAAATATAAAACAGTATGGGCATGATAAGTAGATACGTTACTCTATAATAGAGGTTGTTTTGGGTTTGATCGCGTAAATATATAAATGTGTCGTTAAACCCGCCACCACCCGACACAGCCAATAAGTAAGGTTTGTCACGTCAACAGAAACATGGCAATTCGTCACTAGTCCAGCACTAACTGGTTGTGTGTTGGAGAGCCGCGTTCACATTTTGAGGACTCGGCTTTGTGTTCTGTCCGCTGGAGACGTGGGGGCGACTCCACAACAGCTCAGCGCCAGAGGGTTGGTGAAACGGCGACATTTGGTTTCAAAAGTCCTCTTCTGAAGGGCAGTGGCGTATCTGCAATAGCGACCAAGCACCCCCCCCCCCCTCCACGTCACAATAGCGACCAAGCACCCCCCCCCTCCACGTCACAATAGCGACCAAGCACCCCCCCCCTCCACGTCACAATAGCGACCAAGCACCCCCCCTCCCCCCAGTCACAATAGCGACCGGGCACTCACCCCCTCCCTCACGTCACAATAGCAACCAGGCACCCCCCCCATGTCACAATAGCGACCAGGCACTCACCCCCCCCCCCCTCACGTCACAATAGCAACCAGGCACCCCCCCTCCCACGTCACAATAGCGACCGGACAGTCACCCCCCCCCTCACGTCACAATAGCAACCAGGCACTCACCCCCCCCCCCCCCCCACGTCACAATAGCGACCAGCCACCCCCCCCCCACGTCACAATAGCGACCGGGCACCGATATAGTGTTGAACTTTATGTCAGTCAAATGAACGATTTGTAAAAAAATAGACCTCGGCTGACTTGAGAAACATGTCTGGGACTGGTCTGTGCAGAAGGTGGCAACACGAGTAAGACTGCTTTATCTGCAGCATGTCTTTACGCATTTCGCGTCTTTACCTTTGCCTTAATGTTCACTAAGACGCCGGGCGTATCTTTCGCCCCGTGCGTAGCCAACCGTGCTAATCGGAGCCAAACCGCCGTCTGGAATGCCATCCGTGCTTCACATCGGCAGCAGCTTTCAATCTACCCCGAGAGACACTTACGGCCCACCTCGTTAAGGCTCCAACCTCTTTCTCGTCTGGATTTGCAGCGACACTTAAGCTTGGCCCTGTTCCCCTCATTGTCACGTTAATTTATTTTCCGGTAAACGCCGTGCGTGTCGCGAATGTTCGTTCCGCCGATGCTCTGCTGACCGTAGTCCAAAGCGGGTGCTTGTCCTTGCATAGATCGCCCGCTGGGCTGGTTCGGGCCAGTCCACCCAGGAGAGAGTGGAGCGCTGGTGGGGTGGGTGGCTTCGTTTTTGGTGCCTCCCAGCCTCCTGCGCTATGACACTTGAGAGACCCCATCGCGTAAACTAGTAAGAAGGCAAGTAGCCACGGTGTCAGGGCTGTTTGTACGAGACGCCGTGCTACGTTAGAAACATTGCCACAGAGTTATGCGTAAACATAAATGTGCGCAGCAGTGGATTTTTTTCGCTCGTGCAAATACTATGACCTTTTTTTTTACAACAGTTGTAACAAAGGAGATAAGACGGGATAAGAACAAGCAGGGCAATCGATGCGTATACTTGTGCACATGAGACAGTGCAGTCTGAAGCAGAGGGTACTCACATGGCAGTCATGTTTGTCACGTGACAGACAAATCTCTACCTTTACTCTCTGCACTGCAACTTAGCCAAATTAGAGGTGCAGAACGCAATGTACTGTGATGGGGGCTTGTTGTGTGCAGGCCCTGGTGACCGGGCTGAGATCAAATCACCACACTTGAGACACGTGGTTTAACCCCAACTTGTAAGACCCAGTGTACGTCTGCGGGTCTCTATTGATGTCTATGAGTATCTATGTGAGTCTAAACTATACAAAAATAAACGTTTTATTTTACCGGGTAAGGCCTACTGAGCTATATAGCACTCTTTGAGAAGCGACCTGGCCACATAGCTGAACGAAGTGGCTTATCACGTGGACATTTATAGCGGCCAAATACTATACTCTGAAAGCTTGTTTCAAAAGGTCGAGGGAAAAAACGGAGGTCCCGGAGAAAAATCCACGCGACCACGGGGAGAGAGAGAGAGACACCGCAAACTCCAAATACACAGCAGGCGTCAGGGTCGGGATCGAACCCACGACCTCCTGTATACCAGGCGAGGTAGTTAACATCTCAGCACGATAGCGACATTGAGACCCACGCTCCGCTTTGAGATCATTTACAGACCACACTTGAGAACTCTGTTTGAGTCACGGTTCTCAAACCCCAGTTCTGAGGGGTGCCAGCTCAGCGCTCTGACCTCTCACAGCCGTAGCCAGCAAACACTTTGCCGCCCAGAGCAAGCTTCCAGCCTCGTGCCCCCCCCCCCTCGCCCCATCACTACCCCCGCCCCCACTATTACACCAAAACTTTGTAAGCCAGCAGGCTGCTGCCACTGCCTGCTTCATTCCCTACGATTCAGCGAGACATTCGGGCCGGTGGCGCCGTGACCTTTGACCCCACCCACCCCCTCCCCTCGTTGTATCATCGTACAGTCAGTTCTCGTATAACGCTGAGTGTTTTCATAACGTGATGAATGCATTTTAGGAACCACTTTTTTTTATAACGCGGATGCGAATTGGATATTAAACGCGATCGAGCGAACGCAGCTCCGTCACGCGAGTAGGAATAAGCGGTCGTACGGCTCCCTCGGCGTAGCATCGCACAAGGTGGTGGGATGCTGCTGGATGCTTCTAGATGCTACCCACGCGCCTCGGTCTTTGTTCGGCCCCTTTGTTATGCATCTCGCGCGTTATCGCCGACCGCGCTTTAACCCCTACACTCGAAATTATTTATTACAACGCAATATTTTCTTTCCGTAACACGGCGTTCTTCAGGAGCGCAACTCCAACTACTGCGCTCTAACGGAGCGCACCGTCTGTACCGTTCTCCTAACGGAGTGTACCGTCTGTACCGTTCTCCTAACGGAGCTCACCGTCTGTACCGTTCTCCTAACGGAGCGTACCGTCTGTACCGTTCTTCTAACGGAGCGTACCATCTGTACCGTTCTTCTAACAGAGCGTACCATCTGTACCGTTCTTCTAACAGAGCGTACCATCTGTACCGTTCTCCTAACAGAGCGCACCGTCTGTACCGTTCTCCTAACGGAGCGTACCGTCTATACCGTTCTCCTAACGGAGCGTACCGTCTGTACCGTTCTTCTAACGGAGTGTACCATCTGTACCGTTCTTCTAACAGAGCGTACCATCTGTACCGTTCTTCTAACAGAGCGTACCGTCTGTACCGTTCTCCTAACGGAGCTCACCGTCTGTACCGTTCTTCTAATGGAGTGTACCGTCTGTACCGTTCTTCTAACGGAGTGTACCGTCTGTACCGTTCTCCTAACAGAGCACACCGTCTATAGCGTTCTTCTAACGGAGCGTACCGTCTGTACCGTTCTTCTAACAGAGCGCACCATCTGTACCGTTCTTCTAACAGAGCGCACCGTCTGTACCGTTCTAACGGAGCGTACCGTCTGTACCGTTCTCCTAACGGAGTGTACCGTCTGTACCGTTCTCCTAACGGAGAGTACCGTCTGTACCGTTCTCCTAACAGAGCGACCGTCTGTACCGTTCTCCTAACAGAGCGCACCGTCTGTACCGTTCTCCTAACGGAGCGTACCGTCTGTACCGTTCTTCTAACAGAGCACACCGTCTGTACCGTTCTAACCGAGTGTACCGTCTGTACCGTTCTCCTAACGGAGTGTACCGTTTGTACCGTTCTAACGGAGCGTACCGTCTGTACCGTTCTAACGGAGTGTACCGTCTGTACCGTTATTCTAACGGAGTGTACCGTCTGTACCGTTCTCCTAACGGAGCGTACCGTATGTACCGTTCTCCTAACGGAGCGTACCGTCTGTACCGTTCTTCTAACAGAGCGCACCGTCTGTACCGTTCTCCTAACAGAGCGTACCGTCTGTACCGTTCTTCTAACAGAGCACACCGTCTGTACCGTTCTAACCGAGTGTACCGTCTGTACCGTTCTCCTAACGGAGTGTACCGTTTGTACCGTTCTAACGGAGCGTACCGTCTGTACCGTTCTAACGGAGTGTACCGTCTGTACCGTTATTCTAACGGAGTGTACCGTCTGTACCGTTCTCCTAACGGAGCGTACCGTATGTACCGTTCTCCTAACGGAGCGTACCGTCTGTACCGTTCTTCTAACAGAGCGCACCGTCTGTACCGTTCTCCTAACAGAGCGTACCGTCTGTACCGTTCTCCTAATGGAGCGCACCATCTGTACCGTTCTTCTAACAGAGCGCACCATCTGTACCGTTCTTCTAACGGAGTGTACCGTCTGTACCGTTCTTCTAACGGAGTGTACCATCTGTACCGTTCTCCTAACAGAGCACACCATCTGTACCGTTCTTCTAACGGAGCGTACCGTCTGTACTGTTCTTCTAACAGAGCGCACCATCTGTACCATTCTTCTAACAGAGCGCACCGTCTGTACCGTTCTAACGGAGCGTACCGTCTGTACCGTTCTCCTAACGGAGTGTACCGTCTGTACCGTTCTCCTAACGGAGTGTACCGTCTGTACCGTTCTCCTAACAGAGCGACCGTCTGTACCGTTCTCCTAACAGAGCGCACCGTCTGTACCGTTCTCCTAACGGAGCGTACCGTCTGTACCGTTCTTCTAACAGAGCACACCGTCTGTACCGTTCTAACGGAGTGTACCGTCTGTACCGTTCTCCTAACAGAGCGCACCGTCTGTACCGTTCTCCTAACGGAGTGTACCGTCTGTACCGTTATTCTAACGGAGTGTACCGTCTGTACCATTCTCCTAACGGAGTGTACCGTCTATACCGTTCTTCTAACAGAGCGCACCGTCTGTACCATTCTCCTAACGGAGCGTACCGTCTGTACCGTTCTCCTAACGGAGCTCACCGTCTGTACCATTCTCCTAACGGAGCGTACCGTCTGTACCGTTCTCCTAACGGAGCTCACCGTCTGTACCATTCTCCTAACGGAGTGTACCGTCTGTACCGTTCTCCTAACGGAGTGTACCGTCTGTACCGTTCTTCTAACGGAGTGTACCGTCTGTACCGTTCTCCTAACGGAGTGTACCGTTTGTACCGTTCTTCTAACGGAGCGCTGTGCGGGGCAGGCGGCTTTCAGGGGCGCGCCCCGGCCCCGCGGGTCACCCCGTGCCGACCCAACCCCTGCAAGAACGGCGGCCGCTGCTTGGAGCTGCGCTCGGCCGCCCGCTGCGTCTGCGCCGAGGGCTGGGAGGGAGACACCTGCCACGTCGGTGAGGAATCGCCGCGACGACGCTCACGGCGGAGGCCGGTGCGAGGGTGCCGGCGAACTCGGGGAGAGCCCCTCTCACCACCACCACCACGACCACCACAACCACCACAACCACCACCACCAAAACCACAACCACTACCACCACAACCACCACAACCACCACCACCAAAACCACAACCACTACCACCACAACCACCACAACCACCACCACCACAACCATCACAACCACCACAACCACCAAAACCACAACCACCGCCACCAGGACCACCACCACAGCCACCACCACCACAACCACCACCACCAAAACCACAACCACCGCCACCACGACCACCACCACAGCCACCACCACCACAACCACCATAACCACCACCACAACCACCACAACCACCGCCACCACGACCACAGCCACCACCACAACCACCACAACCACCGTCACCACGACCACCACCACAGCCACCACCACCACAACCACCACAACCACCACCACCAAAACCACAACCACCGCCACCACGACAACCACCACAGCCACCACCACCACAACCACCATAACCACCACCACAACCACCACAACCACCGCCACCACGACCACAGCCACCACCACAACCACCACAACCACCGTCACCACGACCACCACCACAGCCACCACCACCACAACCACCACAACCACCACCACCAAAACCACAACCACCGCCACCACGACCACCACCACAGCCACCACCACCACAACCACCATAACCACCACCACCACAACCACCACAACCACCGCCACCACGACCACAGCCACCACCACCACCACAACCACCACAACCACCGTCACCACGACCACAGCCACCACCACCGAAACCACCGACGTAGGTGGGGCTTTTCAAGGCTCGACGCGCCAACCTGTGGGGGCTGTGGAGGTCTTCAGTGGGCGGGGGGGGGGGCTTGTATATGGGGGAAGGTGGCGGGGAAGAGACGACAATCATTCCCAGGGGAGTGTGGGTGGGTGTGCGGGGGCTAGAGGGGGAAAGGTCAGTGCCGGATGAAGCTCGTGCGGGGCCTGTAGCAAATGTTACGAAGGGGCCCTAAATTAAAAAATATATATTCAAACACACATTTTTAACTTGCTTAATAAAGTAATTGTATTTTTTTATTCGCTATACAGCCAGATAATACGACAAATCGCTAAACTTAAACACCCAGTCGTTCATAAAAAAAAGTTGAAGGAGGTATAGTACTTTAGTAATAGAGCAAGTGCAGAATCACTGAACCGGAATTGATAGCTTGAAAGCATTTAACGTGGGGCCCTTGAAAGTGCGGGACCTGTAGCATTTGTAGCGACTTGTGCTGCGAGAGTCATCCGGCACTGGGAACGGTTCGATATCTTTAACGTTCATTCTTCTCAACCGTCTGCAGTCATTTCATTTTTTGTTCTGGCATTTCAGCCAGGACATTCTGGAATGCTGTTCCGAAAGTTATGTTGGCAAAACATGAGCACCGGGGAGACAAAGGCGGCCGGGCGTGGTATTGGCCACCAACCACATCCTGTGTCTTGCCGACCTTCATAAGTTTTGCTCGCTAACAGCACTTGCCCCAACAGTCTTTCAGAGGCGATACGGGCCCTCTTGGTCTTTGTGAGAACGAATTCACGTAACTTCATTAACACCGGGAACAGGTTTGGGGCAGGTCATGCTTAGCAGTTCGGGTCTCATGATCCGCAGAGGGGGCGCCACGGTGGCTATGAGATGTTAACTACCTCGCCTGGTATACAGGAGGTTGTGGGTTCGATCCCAACCCTGACGCCTGCTGCTGCTGTATATTTGGAGTTTGCGTGTCTCTCTCTCCCCGTGGTGGCGTGGATTTTTATCCCAGTCCTCCGGTTTTTCTCTCCACATTTAGAATCATCATCACGCGTTGAAGAGTATTTGGCTGCTGCTATAAATGCCCACGTGATGATGATGATGATAAAGCCACCTCGTTGAGCTCTCATTTGTGGCTTCTGGAAAAGATCTACACGGCTCAATGGACCTTCACTGTTAAAACGGTTTATAGTTTAGTACTTTTATACTTTATAGTACGCCATGATTTAAAGCTTTCGTGACTGCAGGGATTCATCTTCTTGGTTATTTCGGTAAAGTCACCACGTAGAAGGGAAATAATAAAATAATAAAAATAAAACATTATTCCATCACGTTTTCATTTTATTATTTCATTATTTCCCTTCTACATGATAAAATAATGTTTTATTTTTATTACTTTATTATTTCCCTTCTACATGATAAAATGTTTTATTTTTATTACTTTATTATTTCCCTTCTACATGATAAAATAATGTTTTATTTGTATTACTTTATTATTTCCCTTCTACGTGGCTTTACCGAAAGAACCAAGAAGTACGCCACGACTTCACGACCAACCCCCCACCACCCCCCCCCACCACCACCCTCCCCCCCACCACCACCCCCCACCACCCCCACCACCACTCCCCACCACCACCCCCCACCCCTCCGTATGAACAGAAATCCGGTCGTGCGAGCGGAACAACGGCGGCTGTGAGCACTACTGCGAGGCGAGTCGCATCTACCGCCTCGTGTGCCACTGCGCTCGTGGATACCAACTCAGCGACAACGGCTTCAGCTGTGACCAGATCGGTGGGTGCTGGGCCACGCCACGGCCGACCCAGCCCGCCGGCGCTTCGATCGCGGCCGGCCGACGGCTCGAGACTCGAGCCCCGGGGGGTCGTCGGCGGTGCCGGCTCGGCGGCTCTGACCGCTGGGCAACCCGGCCGGTTGAAGCTGCCTGGGACCCGTATCCAACACAGGGGAAGGGGGGGGGAGTGGAGTTGAATATAAATAACTGTGCCGGGAAGTTCACCGGCAAGGCTGATGGGGCACTGCATGCTGAAACCTCCGATTAGCACGGTCGGCTGATACGGTGCGAAAGAAGTTCTGCGTAAGCACACACACCGTGTATCGCGGGGGAGGACCGAATTTGCGAGAAAGATGAAAGAGACTACGAGTATGAGAACTCGAGGCAGAGAGAGGGAGGTCTTGTTACATCGATGGTGGGGCCTTCAGCAGGGTCTTAACACCTCCAGCAACTGCGAATTTCCTCACCTCCACGGGCACATGCTGGGTGCAAACACCGTGGACGACTGGTTCCGTGTATCCACACAGTCCAGTGGTTTGCCCGTGTTTGACCAGTGCTGCTGAAACACAGATGGCCGTGTGACTGATGGGATACGAACAATATTTTTACTTTTTTTTGTAGAGGGAAAGGTACGCGGAGAAGGTGTGTTGCTCGCTTATTTATTTTTGGAACTTACGTTAATGGTTATAAGTGCATCGTGTAAGGCGACGTACAGTCCGCTCTCAAAGACAGAGAATGACTATCGAGGAACCGACAAGCAGGCAAGGCAGCACCCAATGTTCCCCTCAAGCTCTGCGGTCCTCTACATATAAAGGCGCATTCGATCATTAATGAGCGCTCATTAAAACGAACCACCCGCAGAAACCCCACACGTGCGAGGGTGCAACACTCTATCCCATAAAAGATGGAGCAGGCGGAATCCACGTGTTGCTGTTACCACTTTCTGAAAAAAGGCAGGGCCGGGGCGATCGTGATGATGCTCACGATGGATCTCGTGTTGTCCACCAATTATATTCAGAATCAATTCGCTCAGCGAATTAGCCGCCCACGCAGTGCCGGATTATATTAACCTAGTTGCAAAAGTATCTACTACTACATGCAGTAGTAGCTACTACACGTGTAGTAGCTACTACTGCACGTGTAGTAGCTACTACAACATGAAGTACACATGTAGTAGTACTACATGTAGTAGTAGCTACTACTACATGTAGTAGTACTACATGTAGTAGTAGCTACTACTATCAATTCCGGTTCAGTGATTCTGCACTTGCTCTATTACTATAGTACTATACCGCCTACAACTTTTATGAACGACTGGGTGTTTAAAATTTGTCGTATTATCTGGCTGAATAGCAAATGAAAAAATACAATTACTTTACTACGCAAGTTAAAAATGTGTTTTTTTTATATATTTACGTGTTTCTTTTGTAATTTAGGGCCCCTTTATAACATCATGCCACAGGCCCCGCACTGCGCCCACCCCCCCTCAAACCCTGCGGCCCGGCTCGGCTCGGCCGACTGCCAGCCGGACGGACGGACGGAGGGACCTTGAATAAAAAGATTCATTGTTGCGCCCGAAATTAATCAAAACAAATCTATATATATTCCCGAGGCGACGGCAAAGGACAATGATGGTCCTTGAGGAGCGCCGAGCGACGGAGCCGCGCATTGCGAGAGGCATCGCTTTGAAGGCGGCACGGAGCCACCGCTCAGCTCCTCAATCGCTTGCAGACGAGGGAAGGGATTCCGAGATAAAAAAACAACAAATATAAAAGCCCCATTATAAACGTGCCTCCGTCGTGCGATGACGCAGCGCGAGCGGCGTCCAACTCTGACAAGCTGAGTTAATACCTCAGCGGGCTTGGCCTGCTAAGACAAAACAAATGGTTCAGTTTTATGTGTGTATTATTTTCGTTTAACTTCCCTATACATTGCACTCTTGTCGTGTTTTAGTATGTGTTGTTGTAACGTTCTGACATGGCCACTAATGGACATTTGTCAAAAAGAGCTTTATAGCTCATTGGATTCCTCCAGTATGAATTGATATCCTGATTCTACATAGTTTCTTTACGTTTGTTATTGGTGCCGTCATTGTAGCGCAGCGCTGGATCGCGAAGGAAGGCGCTGTTGCTGTGTTCCACAGACGGGTAGAGGCTGTCTGTAGGGAGCGCTGTTGCTGTGTTCCACAGACGAGAGAGGCTGTCTGCAGGGAGCGCTGTTGCTGTGTTCCACAGACGAGAGAGGCTGTCAGTAGGGAGCGCTGTTGCTGTGTTCCACAGACGGGTAGAGGCTGTCTGTAGGGAGCGCTGTTGCTGTGTTCCACAGACGGGTAGAGGCTGTCTGTAGGGAGCGCTGTTGCTGTGTTCCACAGACGGGTAGAGGCTGTCTGTAGAGAGCGCTGTTGCTGTGTTCCACAGACGAGAGAGGCTGTCAGTAGGGAGCGCTGTTGCTGTGTTCCACAGACGGGTAGAGGCTGTCTGTAGGGAGCGCTGTTGCTGTGTTCCACAGACGAGAGAGGCTGTCTGTAGGGAGCGCTGTTGCTGTGTTCCACAGACGGGTAGAGGCTGTCTGTAGGGAGCGCTGTTGCTGTGTTCCACAGACGAGAGAGGCTGTCTGTAGGGAGCGCTGTTGCTGTGTTCCACAGACGGGTAGAGGCTGTCTGTAGGGAGCGCTGTTGCTGTGTTCCACAGACGGGTAGAGGCTGTCTGTAGGGAGCGCTGTTGCTATGTTCCACAGACGGGTAGAGGCTGTCTGTAGGGAGCGCTGTTGCTGTGTTCCACAGACGGGTAGAGGCTGTCTGTAGGGAGCGCTGTTGCTGTGTTCCACAGACGGGTAGAGGCTGTCTGTAGGGAGCGCTGTTGCTGTGTTCCACAGACGGGTAGAGGCTGTCTGTAGGGAGCGCTGTTGCTGTGTTCCACAGACGGGTAGAGGCTGTCTGTAGGGAGCGCTGTTGCTGTGTTCCACAGACGGGTAGAGGCTGTCTGTAGGGAGCGCTGTTGCTGTGTTCCACAGACGAGAGAGGCTGTCAGTAGGGAGCGCTGTTGCTGTGTTCCACAGACGGGTAGAGGCTGTCTGTAGGGAGCGCTGTTGCTGTGTTCCACAGACGGGTAGAGGCTGTCTGTAGGGAGCGCTGTTGCTGTGTTCCACAGACGGGTAGAGGCTGTCTGTAGGGAGCGCTGTTGCTGTGTTCCACAGACGGGTAGAGGCTGTCAGCAGGGAGCGCTGTTGCTGTGTTCCACAGACGAGAGAGGCTGTCTGTAGGGAGCGCTGTTGCTGTGTTCCACAGACGGGTAGAGGCTGTCAGCAGGGAGCGCTGTTGCTGTGTTCCACAGACGAGTAGAGGCTGTCTGCAGGGAGCGCTGTTGCTGTGTTCCACAGACGAGAGAGGCTGTCTGCAGGGAGCGCTGTTGCTGTGTTCCACAGACGGGTAGAGGCTGTCTGTAGGGAGCGCTGTTGCTGTGTTCCACAGACGAGAGAGGCTGTCAATAGGGAGCGCTGTTGCTGTGTTCCACAGACGGGTAGAGGCTGTCTGTAGAGAGCGCTGTTGCTGTGTTCCACAGACGGGTAGAGGCTGTCTGTAGGGAGCGCTGTTGCTGTGTTCCACAGACGGGTAGAGGCTGTCTGTAGAGAGCGCTGTTGCTGTGTTCCACAGACGAGAGAGGCTGTCAGTAGGGAGCGCTGTTGCTGTGTTCCCCAGACGGGTAGAGGCTGTCTGTAGGGAGCGCTGTTGCTGTGTTCCACAGACGAGAGAGGCTGTCTGTAGGGAGCGCTGTTGCTGTGTTCCACAGACGGGTAGAGGCTGTCTGTAGGGAGCGCTGTTGCTGTGTTCCACAGACGAGAGAGGCTGTCTGTAGGGAGCGCTGTTGATGTGTTCCACAAAGGAGAGAGGCTGTCTGTAGGGAGCGCTGTTGCTGTGTTCCACAGACGAGAGAGGCTGTCTGTAGGGAGGGCTGTTGATGTGTTCCACAGACGAGAGAGGCTGTCTGTAGGGAGCGCTGTTGCTGTGTTCCACAGACGAGAGAGGCTGTCTGTAGGGAGCGCTGTTGCTGTGTTCCACAGACGGGTAGAGGCTGTCAGTAGGGAGCGCTGTTGCTGTGTTCCACAGACGGGTAGAGGCTGTCTGCAGGGAGCGCTGTTGCTGTGTAATCTCAGTTGAGCCATTTGCGGTGTCATTTTTAAATTTTGACAAATGTAGTCCGTGACGCCAGCGCACAATGGCCGAGTCGTTTCGAAACGACGTCCAAAGCAGTGCGAGATACAGAGCGAGGGGTGTTGTGAGCTGCAGTGTGCCGAGTGGGTGGGTGGATGGGTAGGTGAGTGTGTGGGCGAGTGTGTGGGTGAGTGAGTGCGTGGTGTGGTGAGGGAACGGCAGTGTAGCGGGTAGCGCGCTGCGGTACAAAGCTGGCCACCCGGGTTCGATTCCCGCTCACGACAAACATCTCCTGAAGCAGTCCTGGGCCTCCCCTAGGTCCACTCGAATGAGTGGCTGGTGAGTTGTGTAAACATCGCCATCCGTGTGCCGTGGCAGCCTTCATAGGTGCTCACTAATGGCTCTTGCTCCTACAGTCTGTTAAGGCTATACGGGGGAGCTTTATCTTTGTGTGGTGAGTGGGTATGTGAACAGTAACCATGATAGCAGCTATAGAAGAGTGATGAGGAGGCGACCGACTATCGGGGCGACTGAATCTGTGAGCGCCGGATCATCAATGGAACTGTTCATCTCGGGCGGGCGCGGGCGCCGTCGTCCGTCGCAGTGGCCGTGGACTCGCGTCGCAGTGGCCACGGACTCGCGTTGTGGCCTCGCGTCGCAGTGGCCGTGGACTCGCGTCGCAGTGGCCGCGGACTCGCGTCGTGGACTCGCGTCGCAGTGGCCGCGGACTCGCGTCGCAGTGGCCGCGGACTCGCGTCGCACGGCATCGGTGCCGAGACGCACGCGCGGGAAGTTGAGCGACGGCGACGAGGATGAAGCAGCCGCCGTGGCCGCCGCCGCTTCGGTTCATCAGAAACACGGAGGGCGTGAGGGGGTCGCACCCAACCCTCCACCTTAACCTCCGGACCTCCTCTGTCGCTGAACGCCCCCAGACTTGGGCGCTTGCGGGAGGACGGTCATGGACCAGACGGGGCGATCGCTGGGAGGGGACAGCGACGTCTGGGAACCCGACCGCTTGGTCACCGCCGATGCCACCGCCGATGTCACCGCCGATGCCACCGCCAATGCCACCGCTGCCACCAACTCCTCCGCCTTCCCGTCGCCTCCCGAGCGGATCGCGCCGCCGCCGCCGCAGCCCCCCACAGAGCAGGGGAGCGAAGCCCTGGCCGGTGGGGGGGCCCGACCGATGGAAGGGGGGCCCCCCCCGACGGTGGAACCGGAAGCGCAAGCCGCGTCCACCGTGATACCTGACGTCATGAGGATCGTGGGAGGGTACATTTGCCCGCGTGGGCACTGCCCTTGGCAGGTTCGTGCGTCGCCGCGGTTCAAATTCACACGTGAGTGGCGGCCCCTTAGGGGCGATGGGTGGGTGGAACCGGAACGCATCACAGGGAGAGAATAAAAATACATCGGTGGAGGAATTTAAAGCAGATTTATTCTTCGTCTATTTCATTATTGTTATTTGTTTATCATTGTAAATTGTCCCCGCTTTAGTTATACGCCGCCGCTGTAAACCCTCCCTTCGCACGTATATCGTGCTCGCTACCGTCACAACAGCTGCTCTAAAGAGCCGCTGTAAACCCTTCCCATGCGACTTGCCTACCGCACCATCAGCCGGGTCACCGTTAAACAAAGAGCTTCTTCAATCAATGGGCCCTACCCAATATACTCACCGATAAACGTTTTATTTTTTACAAGGTAAGGTCCATTGAGCGATGCAGCTCTTTTACAGGAGCGACCTGACCACAAATGGTCGCTCATCGCGTGGAAATGTAGAGCAGCCAAAGACTCTAAACGCGTGGTGATGTCAATTCTAAATGTGGAAGGAAAAACCGGAGGACCCGGAGGAAAATCCATGCGACCGGGGGTAGAGAGACACCGCAAATGTACAGCAGGCGTCAGGGTCGGGATCGAATCCACGACCCCCTGTAAAGCAGGCGAGCGGTTCCACGATGGAGCTGATCACCCCGAGCTGTCAATTTCCTGATAGTCTCATTGTCTTTGTGCTGTTCCCCTTTTGGCGTCCTCTGGTCTAACGCTGTGTGAGATGAGGCTCTCAAGAAAGCTGTCTCTGGTGTGGACCAATACGTTTCAAAGACAATGCCAACATCATATACTACCAGAGCGTGTCTTTTTTGTTTCCATGTTCACCACAAGCATATGTGGTTAGTGCAGACACGATTCCTGGCAAAAGCTTTCAGTTTTGTGTTTTAACATCTCAACACAACTGTGTTGTTGCCAGAAGGGGAAGTAAAACCTCTTGTCATAGCAGGCGAGGTCGTCGACATCTCCTGGCCACCACCCGGCACGAGCCAATCGGCGCGTCCCTCCCCCCGTCCCTCCCAGGTGCTGCTCACGGACCGGCGCGGCACCGGCTTCTGCGGCGGGACGCTGGTGTCGGCGCGCTGGGTGGTGACGGCGGCGCACTGCGCTCGCTACACCAAGCAAATCCTCGTCCGCATCGGTGAGCGGAGAGAGATTCCCCCCCCCCCCACCTCCCCCCCCCTCCGTGGTAGGGGGGGGACCGTGGAGGTGTCCAACCGGCTCGCCCGAGGTTCACTCCTGGCCGGGCATCGAACTCGGATGGCCAGAACCACCGGGCAGTGCCACCGCTCCCAAAGACGGCGGGACCGGCGTCGCTCGCATAACGCCTCACCCCCACCCCCACCCCCCCCCGTGGCGCGAATTAGCAGTTGCTCGATTAATCTTTTAGGGACTTCAGACTCACGCTGTGCGTTTCACAGTTACGCACTAAAGAAAAAAATTGTCAAATGTAATTTTTCTAAATATTTTTTTTTTTCAATTAAAAACAAAAAATGTTTCGCAGGTTCACCGACTGACGTCTCGAGCCGATGGCGTCCCAGCATCACGGCGCAGCCGTCGTAGACCCGAGCTCGTTGACCTTTTATTTTTCCTTTATTCCAGGCGAGCACGACGTGCGGCTGACCGAGGGCTCCGAGCAGAACCTGCCGGCCAACCTTATCGTGCCGCACCCCAACTTCGACAGCGACACCTTCGACAACGACCTCGCTCTCCTGCGGCTCAACTCGTCGGCGCGCCTCGACCGCTACGCCGTGCCCGCGTGCCTGCCCGACCGCCGGCTCGCGGAGCTGCTTACCCAGCCCGGCACGCTGGGCGTCGTTTCGGGATGGGGCCGCGAGCAGGAGCACGGCCGCAACTCGCGCTACCTGCAGTGGGTCGGACTGCCGGTGGTGCCCACGGCCACGTGCACTCAGTCCACGGAGCAGGTGATGGTAGGGGTTGTGCAGGGGGGAGGGGGGTTGTTGGGGGGTGTTTGGGTTGAGGCTCTGCGGCTACGGTCTCTGCAGATGCGTGGTAGCTGCTGTCTCTTAACGCCAAACACTAATCCTGGTAAGACAGATTTTATTTATATAATGAGGTAGGGCCCAATAAGGCTCTGTTTCATGGGTGTCCTAAGAAGGTACATATGTTATATGCTACAGATCTTAGTTACGAACACTGTTAATCCTAAAAATTAAAACGAACCATAACCCCTAACCTTAAACACTAACCCTAACCACTAACACTAATTTAATATGATGAACCTCAAACATTGAACCCTAAATCTAAACGCTAACACTGAGACTAACCTCTAACCATAATTCCAAACCTTAAACGCTAACCCGCAAGCCCAACCCCAAAACCTAACACGAGCCGCCGACCCCAACCTGAAACACTCACTGCTGACCTTTAACCCTGAACCACAAACCCACTGCCAACGATATCCGAGCAGGGGCGCCGCAGTGACGAGATGTTCACTACCTCGCCGGGTATGCAGGAGTCGTGGGTTCGATACCAACCCCAGCACCTGCTGTAAATTTGCATGCTCTCCCCGTAGTCGCGTGGATTGTTCTCCGGGTATTTCCCTCCACATTTAGAGTCAACACGCGTTCAGAGTTGGCTGCTTAAAATCTCCATGTGATAATCCACTTCTTTTGGCTATCGTTTGTGGCCAGGCCGCTTCTGAAAAAGAGCTACATAGCTCGGTGGGCCTTACCTGGTAAAATAAAAATTTACAAAACCCAACATTGTCAAGATGCCGAACGACGCAGACGCCAACTCTGGTCAACCCGCTCGCTCCTGCCGCCCACAGAAAGTGACGCAGAACATGTTCTGCGCGGGCTACGCCGCGGGGAGGCAGGACGCGTGCAAGGGCGACAGCGGGGGTCCCTACATGAGCCGGCGGCTCGACACGTGGTTCCTCACCGGCGTCACGAGCTGGGGCGAGGGCTGTGCCCAACGGGGGAAGTACGGGGCCTTCACCCGCCTCGCCAACTTCATCGACTGGATTGACGCCACCATGCGCGAGAACACATCGTAACGGGCCCACGGAGAGTCCCGGCGTGTGCGTCCGCCAAGCTTTAGCGCGTAGGTTGGTTTTCATCATAATGTTTCATGGGTTAGATCGCGTAAGTTTCACTGTGTCGTAACCGTCCACCACCCGACACTGCAAGTCAGATTTGTCACGTAAACAAAGCGCCAATTAGTTACTACTTCGGCACACCGGTGTGTTGGGGAGTAAATCCACAACATTTACAATTTGAGTAGTACGACGTTTCGCTGGTAATTACATCCAGCATCATCGGGCCATTTGCCAGACGAGTGAAGCAATCCACCTGCTTCCAGTCTTAGATAGAGCAGCAGCAGGATGACATCATCACTGAACCCATCAGGTGCAGAGATCAGAGGCGGAGGTGGGGGGGGGGAGTACCGTAATGATATAATAGATTAGTAATCAGTTAATTAGCATGTTTCCTCTGTAAGGAATTGTAGTTGTACGATGTATTACTGAATAATATCCTTCCAGTCTGTGCTAAGCCTATAGCTGTCAGAGCGGTTAAAATTATTTTACAATGTTATCCGAATATATCTAAGTCAGCCCGAGCCTGCCCGTGTGTCACCCGACTTCTGTGTGCGCGTGTGTGGCCTTGCCGCCCTCCGAATCCCTCCCCCTATGTAAAAACAGACGCCCTCATTGACGAATTGTTTAGTTTGCTTGTGCACCACTGCAAACGCAGCATCAGCAGCAACATCACCAACTCGTGTCTCACTGCGCTATCGCCTTCGTTCTCATCGAGTGTCAATGTGTTGTACATTAAGCCAGCAAATTCACGGTTTAAATGCCTAGTCACTCATTGCCTCTGTAGACGGAAATCCGGTTTCCAAATCTCCAAAGAGATCTCCCAATAGACTTGGAACTAACGTGGCATCACTGTCTGGGCTGCCGACTGTCCCTGGCAAGGGCAAAGAGCCCTCCCTGGTGGTTGCATAATGAAGAACGGTCAAGGTTTCATCAGCAGCTCATCCTCTCTGCAAATACAGATGATAAGATCTGTGGCTCAACAACCACGCCATTCATTTTACATAAAAAAAACATGCGAATACTAAATCTAATTCATAACAGGTTTTTTTTTTTGCGTTAGATCACGTAAATATGAATGCGTCGTTAAACCCGTCACCACCCGACAAAGCCAATTAGTGAGGTTTATCACGCCAACAGAACGTGCCAGTAAGTTACTAGTACAGCACACCGGTGTTGGTGAGCAAATCCACAACACACCAACACACCAGTGTGCTGTACTAGTGACAAATTGGCACGTTCTGTTGGCGTGACAAACCTCACTAATTGGCTTTGTCGGGTGGTGGCGGGTTTTACGACACATTTATTTTTTTACGTGATCGAACCCAAAAAAAACCTCTTATGGATGATATTGTTCGCAAAAGCCTCCTAACGTGTTAAACCGACTAGCCTCATTGTCAAACGGTGGAACACAATTGCTGACGAAACAATCGAACGTTTCAGAGGCGCTACTTCACATCGATGAAACCTTCACGTGTTTTTTTAATCAGGTGTGCACGTTGATAGCGGCAGTTGCCGACAGACTGAAAGGGTTAAAACTTGGAAATGTCTCCCCGGTTAACTTGCCGTCGGGAGCACAATTCACAATTCACCCCGAGCCTTTTAACGCGGCGATAGAAACGTCAAAAAGAAAGGTAACACCGGCGTCTTTGTCGATGACTCGCAAACGGCGAATTCGCACGTCGGGAGAGTCGACGTCGCTGTGGCGCTCGCCCGATGTTTCCCGAACAATAAAGTCAAGCGTCTTGTTGCTCGTACGAATGTCTCGAGTGACTCCTCGCCTTGCTCGTGCACACGAGGCAACACTTGCACGCGGGAAACAATATGCGCAAACGTTGGGGCTTGCATCTTGAATTGTATATTTTTTCGCGATTTGTTTAGCTTCCCCATACTTACCGTGATTTTGTACCGTTTGTTGTTGGAACGCTCTTCCTTGCCCATACTGGACATCTGTGGCAAAAGAGCTTCTTAGCTCATCGGATTCCTTCAGTATCTATATTCAGATTCTTACTGGCAAGTTTCGCAGCTTTCACAATTATTTTAGTTTAACCGGGCGAGGACTCATGCCCCCAGGATGAGTCTCACTTGCAAGAGTGACCCGCGGCTGCGGGATTCGAGCGAGTGGTTCGTCAAGAGTTAACGGCCTTCAAGGTCCAAAACTCTTTGTAACGCGCACGCGTTTCGCGAAACCGACTTGGGGAGTAGGCGTTCGATCGCGGGGGTGCCGAGAAAGCCCCCCGCAGTTCCTTCTGCGCCAGAGACGACGACAGTGGCGCCTTCAGCCTGCGTCTGAAGGAAGACGAAGTTCGAATGCTTCCTTGTACGGCCAATGGGCCCGACTTCATGCAGCGGTGGCTGAGATGTTAACTCTCTCGCCCGGTATGCAGGAGGTCGTCGGTTTCGATCTTGACCCCGACGCCTGCTGTATATTTGGAGTTTCCATGTCCTCTCCCCGTGGTCACGTGGATTTTTCTCCGGGTTCTATGGTTTTTCCCTAATTTAGAATGAACATCACGCGTTTGGAGGATGTTTCTGCTATACATTTCCACATCATGATAAGCCACTTTGTCGAGCTATCATTTGCCGCTAGGACACTTCTGAAAAAGAGCTACATAGCTCAGTGGGCCTTACCTGGTAAAATAAAAACTAGTTTTGTTTGTTTCAAGTCCCTACACATCCCATCAGCTGTCCGTGTGTGCCGCTTACGGACATCGATGGAGGCATCGCCCCACGACACGGCAGGCCGCTGTCTTCATGTGGGGGGGGGGGGGGTGGGGGGGCAGGAGGCCGTGGCACACCGCTGTGTTCATGTGGGGGGGCAGGAGGCCGTAGCACACCGTTGTGTTCATGCAGGGGGGGGGCAGGAGGCCGTGGCACACCGCTGTGTTCATGTGGGGGGGCAGGAGGCCATGGCACACCACTGTGTTCAAGTGGGGGGGCAGGAGGCCATGGCACACCGCTGTGTTCATGCGAGGGGGGCAGGAGGCCGTGGCGCACCGCTGTGTTCATGTGGGGGAGCAGGAGGCCGTGGCACACCGCTGTGTTCATGCAGGGGGGGGGAGCAGGAGGCCGTGGCACACCGCTGTGTTCGTGCAGGGGGGGGGGGGGGGCAGCAGGCAGGAGGAAGATCACAGCTGCTGAAGCGATGTGTGCAGGAGAAGACCAACGCCGTATCTGGTGGATTGCGAGTGGGGGTGAGTTTCCGACGAGAGAAATTGGTGAAAGCGCGAGCCTGCAGAATGACTATTTTGTACGCGAGGCTATTGACGCGACAGGGAAAGCTCAGTAATCGTGGCAAGTCTGGTCAATTGAAACAAAACAGACATCGTTTTAATGAAATTCTTCATGTGATCCCAGCGTGGTGCTCCAGGCCGTGGCTGTTGGGTATTCTTTCTCTCAAGCTTTTGCCACTCACTACTGTGGGCATCCGCCGAAGATGGGCCGCTTGTATGAACGTGATCAGGCCCAGAGCTATCATAGCTCTTTTTCAGCAGCGCCCTGGCGATCACAAATGTTAGCTCAACAAAGCGCCTCATCACGTGGAAATGTACAGCAGCCAAATACTCTCAACGCACATTGCTAAATGTTGCAGTGAAAACCGCAGGACCCGGAGAAAAATCCACACAACCACAATTTTTCTCTCCGCCTGATGAAGATGGCTTGTGTTGCGATCGAAACGTCCTAGTTTTTATTTTCTTTTATTCGTAATTTTATTTGCATTTTCTATCGACGTGACTTTACCGAAAGAACCAAGAATATGAACCACTGGGAGAGACACGTAAACTCCAAATATACCTATATACCATTATCATAGTCTATCCCTAGCATTTGAGGTTGATTGTCTTCCATAGAAAAGTTGGATTATCTGTGGGTCTGAAGTGGGCTGAAGAGACTGATCTGGGATTGACAGATTCTGCCACAGCTCCGGCAAATGTCCAGAGTGGTGGGTGGGACTGCATCAGTAAGTTGGGCTGCAGCGTCACGCTGCTTCTACCGTTTCCACTTCTCCTCTTACCGTTTACCGCCGTTGAGTTTCAAAATGCTTGGATCCCTGAAGTCGACTCTCGTCTCCAGCTGTGGTGGACCTGGGCAACATTCTCCCACGAGTTAGTGGACAATTAAGATCCGTGATGTTTATTTGAAAAACAGTAGGACATGTGTGCCGGTGTCAGGGTCCAGATTTGCCAAATTTTTATAATTACCTGCATACAGATTATCCCTCGATTCACGAACGTTCGGTTTCCGAAATTTCGCATAAACGCAACCGACAGATTATGGGCACGAAATGTCACTCGGGAACACGCCGTGAGATCATCGAACAAGAAGCCACTTGGGAAGCTGTGTCGTCATCCGTCCACGGCAGCGTGACACGGTGTCCTCGCAGCACAACAATAACACGCATCCACGTCACGCCTCCACGACACCTCTCGTCATTCCAACGTGCGCATCTTTTGGCGAGTTTCCTGAAAAGGTTAAATATTTTTGTTTAAAAAGTATTATTATTTAATCCTTTGTTATACTTGTGTTCTTCACTATTATTTTTGTATGGTGGAAAGTGATATAGGTGGTGTTTGTTTTCAGGTTAGGAGTAGTGGGAATGACTGAAACACATACCTAATTTCTAGCATTAAATGAATGGGGAAAGCCGTTCTGCTTTACACCATTTCGTTTCAGGCGTGTTTTTTGAAGGACGCATCCCTTTCGTGAATCGAGGGACGCTGGTATTACTCGATAGGAAAAACGCACAGCAACCATCGCCCATATACTCTCAAACGTAGCACGATCCTCCTGGGAAAAAGTGTCTAGAGATTCCCGTTGGAGAGTAGAGCCACTCCGCTAACTTTGCCATAAACATCGAGCAGTTGATAAAAAAGTACCATAAGGGTATCGTACAAAAGCTCTGCATGGTTAACACTGACAAGACAAGACTACAATTCAAGACAATGCGGCAGGCAGCAAGTTGTGTCACTTCAATTGAACAAATTGTATTTTCATCCTTTTTATCTTAGATTTTTTAGAGGGTACATTTCCTTAAAAAAAACACAACCAGTCCGTTTAAAGCGTACAAACGTGCCGTAGAGAGCAGGAGGAATTAGTTATAACACACCGAGTCACCCGTTTCCGTCAGAGCCACATTTCTCGCAGAATTCCAGTTAGACG